TTAACATGCAAAACTCTAGTATTTAACTGGACATAGTGCTGGCCTTTAATTCCATACTCAAGAAGCTGAGGCAGGAGGATTGTGAGTTTGAGGCTGTGTGGGCTACATTTCAGAATCATGTTCTGTAAACAACAACAAAAGATCCGTGTGTGTGTGTGTGTGTGTGTGTGTGTGTGTGTGTGTGTAGATTATTTTAAATAGATTCATCTTAAAGCTGAGATAGCTTTAAGTGAAATATGTCTATGTGTGTATGTGTGAAACAAAAAAAAAAAACACTCCCCCAAATCATTTAGGGCCCAGAGTAGTGCACACATTTTCTAGTCTGTTGCAGAAGCTGGTGTTGTTTTCTGTTTGTTTGATGACCCACATTTTATTTCTGTCACTTGTTTTTCTCTAGATAAATGCTCTAAATCAACAAGTTCAGAAGTAATGCCTATTCTCATAATTCTGTTCTTGAGTGTCATGGTTTATTGTCCTTCCTATTCTCAGGACACTTAGGGAAAAATGATTAACCTTAGAGATGAATAAACTCAAGCTGAGCCTCAATTTTCTTGGCTCAGGCTGTTCCATTTGGATGCATTGGCAGTTTGGTAAAGACAACCATCAGGTAGAAAATGAGAGCTGGTGGGTTAGAGCTGACCCATCTAAGGCTATTGGTGGGGATGTATACCTGGTACAGGAAAGAATTCATTCTTAAATTAATTTTTGCTTTTTAATTAATTAACTTTAAAAATTATTCTTAGGAAATAATTCCAAAACTTAAATGCCCAATGTTTTTTTTTTCAGAATTCTCTATATTTTCCTAAGTTCTGAGAGCATGTCATAGGAGCATGTAACCTTCATGAATATCCAAAGCTTATTTTTATGTAGTTTTCAGACCAGATTTATACATGTCTGGCCAATCTCTGATGAAATTATAGCTGTTTTGATTTTTAATTAACTAGTTAATTTTGAGATAGGCTGCTACTCTGAAGCCTACAGTATGTTGGAATTCTGGAGGTAGGCTGGCCTCAAATTCATGGTGCATCTTCTTTTCTTGGCATTGTGAGTGCTGAGATTATAGGCATGGACTACCATGCCCAGTTTTTGCAGTGCTAGGGATTGCAGGCAAGCACTCTATCAACAGAGCTACATCTCAAGTCCTTTAAAAAACCAAACAAACAACTAAAATAAGCTTTCAGTTATTATATAGCAATACAAGTGCTTTTCCCTAACTAAAAAGCATAACTGTGAGGTATTATTTGACTTTAATAATAACAAGGATATGTTGTTTTATATCTTCAGCTAACATATATTTCATTTTGACCAGTTCTTAACCTTTTACCCTCTGATTTCTCTGGTCTGCTGCCCCCATGCCTCTGCTGTTTTGTTAGAAAGTCAAGGAGAATGAATAAACAAAACAGAAACTTTGATGATCTGGCATATCTGCTTATTGATAATCTCTCAGTAAGTGTAGAGCAGGACTGTTGTTTTCTAGTCTGTCTGCATAGACCTTCTCCAGTGGTTTCCCTCTTCCTTGTAAAAGAATAAAAGTGAAATTCCACCTGTTAAAGAATTCAGATTTTTTTATTGCTGTTGGGTCAGTAAATGCTTGGCCAAAGTTAGGGAAGGCTCAGGCATGGAACAGTTGTTGTTAATGTAATTACTGTAGATCAATTGAAGTATAGTAAAGTTTGTGGGCATGGTGATTTATTTGAAACTGAACAAGGCAACAGAGTCCATGGCTCAGAGCAAAACTTCCATTGCAGAGCTAACTTATGGAGATGTATGGATATGCCCTTTTGAAAACTGTGACTGAAGGTAACCTGAACACCCCATATATTCTTTTATTTTCTGAGACAGGGTTTCTCTGTGTAGCTGTGTAGACCAGGCTGGCCTTGAACTCACAGAGATCTGCCTGCCTCTGCCTCCCGAGTGCTGGGATTAAAGGCGTGTGCCACCATCGCCTGGCAAACATCCCATATATTTCTTACCTTAAATCGATATATTATGCAGATTTTTCAACCCCCCAGACCTATATGGGAGTGGAAAACATTGGTGATTCTGGCTATAAATCATAGTAATGCTGTGATCCAAAGTGGTTAGGATTTCAAGGCCAGTTTAGAGAGTACCTTACCATGTGTTTGTGTGGACTGCTAGGTATTTCCTAGGTCTTGAAACAACATGCTTGTCATCTGCCTAATTAGTGCCAAGTTCAAGCTCTGTGGAATGTGCTACAAGAGTACAAGAGAACTTGTTTAAAAAAAAACTAACTGCCAGGTATGGTGGTGCACTCCTTTAATCCCTGAACATGGGCAGCAGAGGCAGGGAGATCTCTTGGTTTGAGATCAGCCTGGCCTACAAAGTGAGTTCCAGGACAGCAAGAGCTACACAGAAACCCTGTCTTAAACAAAGCAAAATAGAAAACTAACCAAATAGGGCAATAGTTCAGCAATAGAATACTTGCCTAGCATAGGCAAAGGCCCTGCATTACATCACTAGCACCAATCTAAATACCCTTCCCTAAAGTACACATCTATGTAATATAATTGTTATTTGGATGGGAGTCTCTCAGGAAATGAAGACCTAGAGAAACCTTAGTTTGTTCTCTGTCTCCGTCTCTCTCCCTGTCACTGTATCTTCCATCCTCCCTTCCTCCATCTCTGCCTTCCTCCCTCTCTCCCCACCCACCCAACCACCCACCTAGCTCTCTTCCTGCATGTGCATGTCAGAGGACAACTTTATGTAGTTGTTTCTCTCCTTTCACTTTTTATGCGGTGGCTTCTGGAGATTGAACGTGGGTCCTCAGGCTTGCACAGCAACTACTTTACCTGCTGAGTTATCTCACTGACCTCTTTAGTGTTTTCTATTATAGTATAGCTGATGAACAGCTGGGGAGGCATGGAGAAATCTAGTGGACAAAGAGGCTGAGATGTCATGACAAGTAACTGGGAGAGCTTAGCAGAGCTGGTTTGTTCATCTGCTTTGGGTCTTCAGAGAGTGCCTTCCCTGTTTAGGGAGGCACATTTCACTTAAGGGTCTATGTGATCTGCTTTAGGGAAGGTCAGAACACGTGTTTTAGGACACAAAGGCAGATGAAAGCTTAAGAGACCTTCTTGTGTATGCTTTTGTTATGGGTAGCCCACTAGAGAAGACCACTCAGACACAGTTGATAACCTATTGAAAGTCTATTCCTGCTGCTGGGACTACTCTCTCGGGTATTCAGGACCCAAGTGTAGCCCTGAGATTTTAGAGCAAGATGCTTGGAAGCAAAATCCATATCCAGTTATCTTGCTCAGCAGCTGCAGGGGGAGGTTTTGCACAAGCAAGCAGCTTAACAAAAACTAAGAAAAGCAGTTATGGAGGGAGAGTTTTGTACAAGCAGGTAGTTGTTTAACAGAAGCCAGGATAAATTAGTTGGGGTATCTTGGCCTTGGATTCCTAGAATAGAGTTGGGTAATTTTTCATGGGATTTGCCATCAAGGATGTCAAATTCTAGTCAAACCTAAAATGGTTTCATCAAGAATGTGAGATGGAGGAACCTCTGCACTGTCTTTCCCTGTCACTCTACCCCAGATTCCTTTACTTTAAAATGTTCACTATGCCAAGGTGCCATATTTTGGAGTAGTATGTCCTGAACCCTCTCATTGCCAAAGAAAATGGTTGTTATTAGAGGGATGAAAAATGAAAACATGCAGCATTGAACCGATAGCTTATGAACTTGGGAAGAAATTGACTTCAGTAGGAACAGGAAAACATGGTGCTCAACTTTAGGTAGACTGAGATTTAGTCCCTAGTCTAGCCTGACATAATCTATCAACTATGCTTTTTTTCCCTTAAAAAATTGTTTTAAAGGGTTCTTGCTATGGTCATCTGGCTCCATTGCTTTTGGTTCTGTGGTAAGACAGAACACCATGGTGGGCAGCACATGGTAAAAGAAAATTGTTTACCCTATGGTGGCTAGGAGGCAAAAAGGGAGAAGTGCAGAAGTCCCAATAGCCCCACCAAGGTGTGTTCATAGTGACCGCATTTCACTTGTCTCCCATCTTTCTTTCATCTCTCTCTCTCTTTCTGTCTCTTTCTCTCTCTCTCTCTCTCTCTCTCTCTCTCTCTCTCTCTCTCTCTCTCTCTCTCTGTGTGTGTGTGTGTGTGTGTGTGTGGTGTATTTGCATACGTATCTGCCACAATGCTGAGAGTGGAAGTCAAAGGACGACTTTTGGGAGTCAGTCATCTGGGTATCAGACTCGGGTCTCAAGTATATATAAGTATGTATTGTACACTGAAAGTAGTCTCCTTTATAGCTTCACTCTCCATTCTCTTGTCCGTCCCTCCCATTAGTTATCTTCATTCCCCTAGACAGTTTTACTTCTTTCATGTCGTATATATATGCATGATTTTATATTTTTTCTGTAAAATAATAGGAATCACAAATAAGTTAAAACATACAAAATTTGTCTTTCTGAGACTGGGTTAATTCTCTGCATATGATCATCTCCAGTTACATCCATTTTCCTGCAGATGACATGACTTTTTTTTTTTTTTGAGACAGGTTTTCACAATAGCCCAGGTTGTCCTAAAACTCTTTGACAATCCTGCTGCCTTAGCCTCATAAATTCTGGGATTACAAGTGTGAGCCACCACTCCTGGCTTCAGGCCTTCCTATGAAATCAGTTTATTACTATAACTCCTTGAGTAGAAAGCAAGCCACAGGCACAGGGGCAGGCAGCAGAGCAGTCAAGGTGTTGCAGAAGTGGACAGCTGATCTGTACTCTTTGTATTACATATCTCAACCTATGGAACCATTTTTTAAATTTTCTGAGTAACTAATGACTTGTGATGAAGGCAAGGAATCAGTTCCTGAGCAAAGCAGGACCATTGCATGTGATTAGGCTACAAAATGATCATAAGACTATTCCTTAGTATTTCCTCTACATGGATCTTAACTATGGAACAGGCTTGGAGCTAAAACTTGTGGCATTTTATTTAACATCTTGCTGAGTGACTTTTCTCTATTTATCTAGTGATGTATACAGCGATGTCAGCGATGACAGCTTTTCTGAGGCAAAGCTGGCTGAACTGGAAATCAACTGAAGTTCTTTCTTGCCTCATGAGTAACAGGGGCCACCCAAAAGGGTAAGAAAGCATTTTGGAGGATCATTTGTTTGTGTTACAGGAAGCTGGCATCTTGGTAGAGATGGGAGCATTACAGGACTTAGATCACAGGGTCTTTCTCAGCCCAGATTTAGCCTTGGTGCTGTCAAGAGACAGTATTTGGGAGAAAGGGCATATATCTGAGGCCAGAAATGAGCATCAGTACCTGTAAATTACTGGTTAGAATTATAATAGTTATGTTCGAAGTTGACCAGAAGAAAATTTGTAATGCCAGATAGTATTTTTTGCGTATGGGTCTGTCACAGCTATTCTGTCATTGCAATGAGAAAGCAGCCATAGGCAATATAGAAATAAGTGAACATGGTTGTGTGCCAATACAACTTTATTTACAAAAACTACTTGCTAATTGTGTGTATGTTACATATGTTACATATCTATAATGCCAGTACTCAGGCAGTATAGTTCAAAATAATCCTCAGGTACACAGTGATTTGACTATGTTAGATTCTATCTTAAAAACAAAAACAACCCAAACCTGAGTGCTAAATAAATTTATCTATGTATTAAAAAGGTCAAAACGTAATTAAACCCACTGATATGTATGCTATCTAATTTTTCCTTTATTTTTAAATGATACCCTTGGGCCAGTGAGATGGCTTTGCAGGTAAAAGCACTTGCTATGTGAGCCTGATGACTTGAATCAGTCCCCAGATCCTATGTTGGAAGGATCGAACTGATTCCTGGAATTTGTTCTCTGACCTTCACATGCATGCTGTGGCACAACTGTGTGTTCTCTGTCTCTCTCACATTTATACAATCCATATTAGTAAAAAAAAATAAAATTTAAAAACAAAATAGGGGGCTAGAGAGTTGGCTCAGTTGTTTAAAGTGCTGGCCAGAGGACCCAGGTTTGATTCCCAGCCCCTGCATCGTGGCTCCATAACTCCATTTCCAGACTGTCTGGTGCCTTCTTCTGGACTCTGTGGGCACAAGGCATGTTCATGGTGCACAAATATACATTCAGGCAAACTCTCATCACATAAAATGAAATAAATAAATCTTTTAAAAGTTTTAAAAAATAAAGTTCAACAAAATAAAACTAAAGACCATCTTGCTGAATGTGTTGTAGGCCACTCATAGCAGAGCAGATTCTCTTGGCTTTGTATAAAATAAAATATAACTGGGCTGGAGAGATGGATCAGTGGTTAAGAGTACTTATGGCTCTTGTAGGGGGCCTGGGTTCAGTTCACAGCACCCATGTCGCAGCTTACAATTATCTATCTGTAACTCTGGTTCCAGGGGATCTGATCCCTCTTCTGACTTCTTAGAGCACCAGGCACACATCTGGTGTACATACATACATGTAGGCAGAATACTCAAGCACATAAAATAAACCCAAGAAATAAAAATTATAAGGTAGTATTGTTTCTTTGCAAGAAGAGGTTAGAGATAGGGTTGGTGTCCAAGGGCGGCTTATTACCTGTTACTATATTTTATATTCTAAGAGAGGGCATCATCATGGATAGTGTTATTAAGTTTATACTTGGAGCCAGATGCCACTTGGTATGTCCTTAGAGGTTGTAGCAGGCCTTGGGATGGATATGCTAGTATTTAGTTGGAACAGCAACTTTTGGACAGCTTGTCAAGTGTTCATTGCTCTGTTCAACTGGGGCTTTTGCTCAGTGTTAAAATGCTTGGCTGGCTTGCCTGGGGCCCAAGTTCAGTTTCCAGGATTGCAAAACAAGAAAGAACCACAAAGAGTTATATCACTCTACTGTGAGTTCTCTGTAGATTTTTCTGTTTATCTAGACTACTGTGTCATAAGTGGGGTTACTTCAAACTAAAATGTTGTAAAGATTAATAGGGATGATTTTAAGGACGATTATTATTTGCCTTTTGATGTAACTAATACTTACCTTTTCTTTTTAAAGCCTCTGAAGTAATTAAGATGAAAGAATTATCTGAAGAAACCACCACACTGTTCCCTTGACATGGGCTATGAAGATTCAAAGGGAATCCAAAAATGTTTACTTCATGAAACAGAACCAAAGGGATTCTTTGCTTTTTCCTCCTGAGGCAGCCTGTAGTATTCACTCATTTCTATACTTAATTAAACGTTATTCAGCAGCAATCCTCGGGTAAAAAGTGTTTTGTGTTTTGTCCAGAACATAGTGAGGTCAAGGTGGTACCCAATATTGTGTGGGGAAGGTGGCAGGCATGTGCTATAACCAATTTTGGGTTTAAAAATAAGTTATGCTTTTACCTGGATATGAAGTATAGGTTAATATGGGAGTTGAGATTACTTCAGTTTCTCATTCTGTTTATTTCCAGTTAAAAGTGAAATTTAGCAGGTGCAAACCTTGGGGTTGTAAGCAAGTCTGTTTTCTCAAATACAAAATGTAAAGGAGATCTGAAAACTCAGGAATCAGGATAAGGGAGGCCGAGTTCCATCTCTTCAACCCACTTAGTGGAAGGAGCAAACGGACTCCCATAAGTTGTCTTCTGACCTCCACATGTACACACACACAGAGACACCAAAAAATGTAAAAAAATGTTTTTTTCTTTTTAAATTGAAATTATTTTCTATTATTCTTTTGACAACTTCAGGCATGTATGGAGTCAAGGTTTGGTCATTTTTACCCTTTATTACGCTCTTTCATCCCATTCTTACTGAACGCCTTCTTCTCAGCCAGTCCCTTCTTGTTCTCATGTCTTTTTTGTTGTTTTGTTTTTGTGACAACTGTCTTTCTCTTTTTGAAACAGCATCTCACACTGTAGCCCAAGCTGACTTAGAATTCACTGTGTAGTCTTAAACTCACTGTGATCCTCTGGCCTCAGCCTCCCAAGGATAATAAATAGGTATGAGCTATTACACTCTGCTCAACATCTGCAATTTTTTTGTTTTGTTTTTTCTTTTGAGACAAAGTTTCTCTACATGCCCCTAGCTGTCCTGGAAGCTACTATGTAGACCAGGCTGGCCTCAAACTCACAAAGATCTGCCTGCCACTGCCTCTCAAGTGCTGGGGCAAAATATCTATTATAGCAAAAATAGCTATTTTAAAGTGTATTTTACAGTAGCATTCACTGATACTGTACAACTGTCAGTTTTCTGTAGTTACTCCAGAATTACCCCTTATTCTCATTAGCAGTCACTACTCTTCCCCTGGCAACTGTGAGATCCAGATTGATTCAGGCAACTTGGGAATAAAAGAAAGCGCAGACCAAGCTCTACATGAGCAGAACTATTCTTTAACCAGAACAACTGAAGGGCATCAGTCTCTGCTTGGGAGTGGAGACTGTGTGCATGTGGTACAAAAGGGCTGGGGAATTTATAGGACAGAAAGGAGGACTTTGAGAATGGAAGAGTCCATTTGCAGATCAGTCCCCCTGCAGTCTCAAAGCGGTAGATAGCAGAGGGGTCGGTATGCCGATCCTCCTACTGGAAGAATCCTGGGGCTTAATAGCCCACAGGTGTTACCAGTCAAGTCAACTTTTTCTATCTAGAGTTTGAGCCCACCTGAGGCTATTATTTTTATTTTTATTTTTGTCATTAGCACTTAAGCAGCCACCAAACCCTTTTTGTATAGATTTTCCTACTCTAGTAGTTCATAAAAGTGAAATCTTATGGTGTATACATTTTCTGTCTGGTTTCTTTATTGACCTTAATCTTGTCAAGGCTTACCCAAGTGGTACCATCCTTTTTATGGCTCAATAATATTCTGTTGTATATATTTACCACAATTTATTTATTGTTGGTGGACCTTTGGCTAGTTTCCACCTTGGCTTGTTGTGAATAGTGCTACCACTAACCATCATGCACAAATCTTTATTTGGAATATGTTTTTAGTTCTGAGTATGGACCTAGGAGTAGGATTGTTGTGGTATATGCTATTTTTAACTTTTGATGGAGAATCACTAGTACTTTAATTCAACACTTCAAAATGAACATTTTTTCTTTTTTCTTAGTTCAAATTAGAAACAAGCCTGCTTCACATGTCAATCCCTGCTCCCTCTCCCTCCCCTCACCAACCCCCCACCCCATTCCCCCCTCTGTTTCCCAGGGAGGGTAAGGCCCTCCATGGGGATCCTCAAAGTCTGTCATATCATCCTGGGCTAAACACTGAACTAAAATGAACATTTTTTTAGATTTAAAAAGTTTATGTGAATGAATGGTTTGCCTGCATGTATGTATGTGCACCACGTGTGTACCTGGTGCCCACTGGGATCAAAAGAGGACATTAGATCCTCTGGAACTGGAGTTACAGATTGTTGTGAGCCATCACGCCCATGCTGGGAATCGAATCTCAGTCCTCTGGAAGAGCAACAAGTGATTTAAACTCCTGAGCTGTCTCCCTAGCTCCCCCAATTCAATATTTTTAAAAATTAATTGAAAATACAGTGAACTTTACTTTTCAAACAGAATCTGTAGCACTAAAGAGATGGCTGAGAGGTTAAGAGTGCTTGCTTCCAGATGAACCAAATTTGGTTTCCAGCATCCATATTGAGCAGCTTGCAAATGCCTGTAACTCTATCTCTAGGGAATACAGTTACCCTCTTTGGGAATCCATGGACACCTGCATCTATGTGGCATATACACACACAAACACTAGATAAATGAATATATGTATAAGTAAAGTAATAATCTAGACTTGTACCTCCCTTACCTGCTCTATTCCTGGTCTGGGTGCTCATAAATGTATAAAAACACAGTTTGTGCCTCAAACGAGAAAACATAATTTATTCAGGAGCCAAATATGAGTCACCATGTTTCAAGAACACAAATTTAAGTTACCCTAAAGTCTATATTTCAATGTAATAACTTTCATAAAGTTTTTTTATAGTAACAGAACAAAGAAAATAAGATACATTTCCGACACATGGGTGGGAAAATCAGGGAGGCAGGTTTCAGAAAAGCAGGGAAATGTCTCTATAGGCCTGATCTTGGCTTTTAGATTGGTGGAAGCTAAGGTTCTGTTTGTACATTCCAAGTGGATTTACCTAATAGTCATAAGGTCGTACACAGAGGTACAAGATAGTTATTAACTTTTTGAAACAAAGACATAGTTGCCGTTCCCGGAATAGGCAGTACAGAACAATTTGTAGTTAAGGTTACAGGTGGGACATAGCCCAATCCTTGAGAAATAGAGGTTTAATCAAAAACAGATATGAACCTAGTTTGTCTTTACTATAAGATGGCTTTTAGGCCTAAGATGGAGGCAGGCTGGTTCATCACAGCAAGGGCTCTTTAACTGCTGAGCCATCTCTCCAGTCTTTCACATACTAATTTAAATATTTTAACCTTATTCTTTTTGGTGGTTCTTATTTGTTTGTTTGTTTTTTCCTTTTAAGCATTTTCTTTTTAATGCTGTAAGGTGCCACATCATTATTTTGTAAGATGCTACAGAAATCTCAGCTACCCAATACATGCAAAATGGAAACAAATCTTTGTGGTAAAAATAATATTAAATTGCTTCAGTGTTCCATTTGCGAAAATTATAGTGATAAGACCACTAGAGGCTCTGAATGAAAAGCCCAGGTTAAAAGCTGAAATAGGTCTAGCTGAGAGAGAAGAATGTACTCACAAAGAGGATGCTTTAACATCACAAAAGGGGTAGGCTGGTTTAAATGGACATTTTCAATTTTAATGATCCTGATTTCTCAAGTCACTTAACAACTGAGTGCTTTTGCTGGGGCTAATAAGGCAGTAACTAGGGCCCGAAGGAAGGACACTTAAGAAACAGCCAGCTTCTTGGTTGTTGCCATGGTGTGTGTGTGTGTGTGTGTGTGTGTGTGTGTGTGTGTGTATTTACTTTAGGGGACTCCTCCTGAACTTGGAATATAGCAAAGAACAGAACAAACATCCAATTGGCTGTCATTGTCCTAGTTTGCTTCTTCTCACTGTGATGAAACACTGACCAAAAACAACTTTGCGGGGAAGGTTTTATTTATTTGCCTTACAGATTGAAGTTTATTACTGAGGGAAGAAGCTGTCTTAGGGTTTCTGTTGCTGTGAAGAGACACCATGACCGCAGCAATTCTTATAAAGGGAAACATTTATTTGGGGCAGACTTATAGTTTCAGAGGTTTAGTCCTTTATCATCTTGTGGGGCATTCTGTGCAGACAGACATGGTCCTGGAGAAGGAGCTGAGAGTTACATCATGACCCAAAGGCAACAGGAAGTGAACTCTGACTCTGGGCATAGGTTGAGTGTAAGAGACCTCAAAGCCCATCTCCACAGTGATACACTTCCTCCAACAAAGTCACACTTACTTCAAGAAAACCACAACTCCTAATATGCCACTCCCTTTGGGGGCTGTTTTCTTTTAAACCACCACAGAAGCCAAGGCAGGAACCTGGAGATGGGAACTGAAGCTGGATTACTGAGGAATGCTGCTTCCTGGTTTGCTTTTCATGGCTTGCTCAGATTGTTTTATAGAAAGCAGTACCACCTACCCAGGGTTGGCACCACCCACAGTGGATTGGGCCCTCTAACATCAATCAGTTATCAAGAAAATGCCTCACAGACATGCTCATAGGCCAGTCTGATGGAAGAAATTCCTCAATTGAAGTCTTTTTCCCAGGCGACTCTAGTTTGTGTGAAACTGACATAAACTAACCAGCCCTGGCGGGAACACCTAGAAAGTTACTCTAAATTGTTCACTCACCAAGTCACCTGTTTATTGCCATATGGTCAATGCACACAGTACTGGGTTTCATATAGGTGTATAATGTATTTTGACCATATTCCCACCCTATACCCTTTTAGTCTTCCCTGTAAGAAACTATTACTTTTATTAAAGACAGCCCTACTGGAATGTATACTTCCAGAACCTCCCCTCTCCCCTTGCTTCTGTTGGCCAGTTGTATCAGATAGTGAAGCCAAGCTTCTACCAGTGGTGTGAGACTCGCTCACCACCTACGTTAGGGATAAAAGACAGAAACCATTTTGACCAAGGGTGCTTGTTAGACTGTTGGGTGTTCTGGCACACTATTTCTTAAAAAAAGAATTGCCTTGCCAAGCTACTTTTACTTTGTTCGTGTGGTCCTTTGTGTGATGTGGGGTTATTTTTGTTTCTAACATTCTCTTTCTCTACCCTCCCATTAGTTCCCTGTGTTTCCTTATGGTTTCC